AAAGAAGACAATTAGACTTTTTTTTATAACCTTGATACCTCATTGCATTGGTCTTCTACTTGTTTGACATATTAAAATTTTCTCGTAGAAATGTCTAAATAACCAAAAAATAGGGAACACATCATTTATTTTCCAACTTCTGTTGTGTTAACGTGGTGCTGGGCATGGAAATAAACATTGATTCATTAATCCAAATAGCATTTACTGAACATCTGCTATATTGCTTTAATTATCGATATAGCTTCAGTTATAGCTCTCTTTTTTAAGTGGTATAACACATTTAGTAATTTTAATTTTGCAGAATGTAGATCATCATCAAGGAATAGAATTTAAAAAAGCCGAAATAGGTGGTTGTTATTTTTTATGATAATGATAAAAAGTACAGCTGCTACTTTACCTTCTTGTAACCTGGTGTAATTACATGGTATTTTTAAGCATTATCCAATTTGAGCCTTAGGATAATTACGCAACTTAGGAAGGGCAGAGGGTGGTAGCCCTTATTATAGGTGAGAAAGCTGAGGTCAAGGTACATGAAGGGCTTTGACCACAGTTATTTGAAGAAGGAAATCTTGGACTGTTAGAGCCCAGATTTCCTAACTGATTCAAACAGGATTCTTGTATTGGACTCCTAAGAGAGTCCTGCGGAGTGTTTTTATTTATAATTTATTTTAGATGTAATTTTAATAAATTTTATTTGGTTTCTAACTTGTGAGCAAATGAAAATGATCCATTTAGAACTACACGTTAGTGGCAGTCAAATTGCCAGCAGCAGTGAATGATAGACAACAACAAAGGATGGTTGAGAAAAGCTATGAAGCAGACATAAATCAACAAGCATTGGGATCTGGCACCATGCTGCCAACGGGTGGAAGGCTCCTTATGTTTTGGTAGCTTCCAAGTAGTCACTTAACTATAATATCATATAATAATTGCCATAGAAATAATTCCTTAAGAAAAATTTATAGGAAGTTTCATTAAAAATATTTGCTTGCTGCATTTACAAAATTAACAGATATTAACTTAATTCTTTATGATCTTAGATAAGCGAAGTATTGTTGTATTAACCTCTTAGAAGTCTTAAGATTTGTATTTTATACTGAGAAAATTCCTGTGAATTTTAGTATGGCAGTCTTTTATCAATCAGTCAACTTTGATCCGATTTCACTGACATTAATTAGTACAGCTTTTGTGTCCGGCTGTCTTAAGTATCAGAGCCACTGTCTCTGATAGGGAAAAATATCTAGCTCTGACTTTGACAAAGGCCAGAGAGGCAGCACTCGAAGATACTGGTCAGTAGTGGGTGAGTTCGGGGGTGCACTTGGGATGCCCACTGAGACCAGCCGTCTGAAGGAGGCAGATAAGAACATTCTTCAAGGGTAAGAAAAGCTAAAGCTGGTGATCTCCTCTCGGCAGATTTGATGCTTTAATGTTTTTTTCTTTCCTCTCTGTCCTGGGAAGAAGCTGTCCTCTGTTCTCCCTTGGGAGTTTTATTTTTGGCTTGCTTCCCTAGCGATCTTCATTACAACACAATGTGAGAGTAACTTCATTTTAAGGGGATTTAATCCATGATTAAATATTGAAAATGAGCAAACATATTTAGAAGTGAGTCCTAGACATTTAGTGATATGTTTAATTCCCCTATGAATAGGGAGAAATACTTTGTTGATATGTGTTGAAGTACTTTGCTCTCTTAATGTATAATCAATGTTTAATTATTCATCATTCTCCAGGAGTCTCTATTCATTTGGCATCTTTGAGCCAGACTAGTGTAGTATGATTAATATTTATGATGGTAATCTCATATTCCTACAGGATTTCCAAATTAAGGAGAGCTTATACTATTTGGTATCTTTTAATGATGAAAATATCCTATTGAGTTTTAGTTCTTTGGAAGCTGATAACTGTAGATACAGTCAAAGCCGGAATATTTGAGTTCTTGCAGTACCTCTAACAATGCTGTATGATAATTTATTTTTATGTATTTCTTAAGTCTTTAAATGATGTATTTAAATAGAACACACTTGTTGTTAGATTTTTTCTTTTTATTTCATAGGTATAAAGTGCAAAAGTAGAATGTAAAACTATATATGGGTTGATATCAATGGTATATAAAAATTTATATCTGTGCATTAAAAAATTAGAAAGCTATAAATGTTACAGTAATAACTCCTGGATGATAGGATTGTAGACAATTTTATTTTCTTTGTGCTTTTCTATAATTTCTGGTTTTTCTAAGATAGAAATATATTTTTGTAGGATGAAAAAATTATTTTAAAACAAAAGATTCTTATGTGTTCAGGGGGCTAAGTCTATAAGTGCATTTTGTTCTAAATTCTCATCGATTACGAATGTACTTGTTTTTGTGGGTGAAGTTGTACTTCATTAGTGTGGAAGTTGGCTGTTTTGGAGGGATGTGTTCCTTGCTGTAACTAAAAAGCAGTTCCATGCCACGGGGCTCCTTGTTTTGTGTGATGAAGTTGGTAGTTGCAGGAGGAGCTTTAGCAGGGCTTTCACTTGTCGTTGCCCTGCCCCTCTCCTTCACTCATTTGTTTCTCATCTTGACCATAAACCACACGTTATCTTGGGAAATGTTTGTTTCACGTGAAAAAGTAAAGCTTTTGTGAATACATATGGTTGTGATCATTAATTAGAGAGATGTTCCTGAAGACTTGAATATGGTGGTAGTTTTAAAATAAGCCATTTTGTGGTGAATGCAGTAAAACACAATCTGTGGAAAGTTGTAAATTACTTGTGAAATATTAGTACAGATTGTTTATTTGTAAGAATAATAATTTGTTTAATGAGTGCTTCTAGGTTCTTTCAGCTTGCAGGTTTTTATATGTTATGTGTGAATTCTGTTTTTAATAGGTTATCTCATCTGAGATTCAGAAATTAATTTCTGTTTTTGGTAAGACAAGTTTTCTCAAACATTTAGATGTGTTTATAATGTTTTACTGACTGGAGTCTTAGGATAAGTGGAAAGCTAAGTCTAAATGAAAAAATGCTTTTAGGATCCTAGGATCTTGAGATTCATCACTAGATCATTGTGAGTTAACTTTTTTCTCTGAATCTCATTAATTTGATTTAACGTCTACTTTCCTCAAAGCCTAGCTATGTTTAAAAATCATGTTTATAGTTGATCCTGATGTTATTTAAATGTATCTATCTAATGTTAATTGCTGGCACTATAATCATTACTCATTTTAAAAGAAAATTTTTGAAAACCATTTTGTTAACTACAAAATGAAGGGATTCTACTTTCTGAATGTTTGAGATCCCTTTAAACAGAAAACAACAGAAATATGTGATCAGCTGTTTTTCCTGTGAGAGGCCTCAGTGCCTGGCTTCTTTCTCTCCAAGAGCCTGGGGCCATACATAGGCGGTTAAATGGGTTTCTTGAAGATTTTGGGAGGAGGGGACATTTTTATATTAAGTCATGTATATTTTGAAGTAAAATTACAAAATGTGTGTGTTTATGCCAAACCAGTAGCATTCAGAGAACTTTTATTGTTGCAGAAGGCATCTTTGATCATACCCCTAGATTCCCTAGTGAATTTCCGTTTACTTCCAGGTGTGGAAAAGTCTGAGAAACTTCCTTCATGTATGGGGTTTTGTGCCTTTCATAAATATTAGCTATAATATTAGCTATATAATAAACAAGTCACGCTTGTTTTAGTTGAGATTAAGAGGCAAATAAGAATAAGTTTACTTTTTTTTTGAGACGGAGTCTCACTCTGTTGCCCAGGCTGGAGTGCAGTGGCACGATCTCGGCTCACTGCGACCTCCACCTCCCAGGTTCAAGTGATACTCCTGCCTTGGCATCCCAAGTAACTGAGACGACAAGTGCCCGCCATCATGCCCGGCTGATTTTTTCGTATTTTCAGTAGAGACGGGGTTTCACCGTGTTGGCCAGGCTGGTCTCGAACTCCTGATCTCAGGTGATCGCCTGCCTTGGCCTCCCAAAGTGTTGGGATTACAGATGTGAGCCACTGTGTCCAGCCTATGTTTACATTTTTTTAAAGGAAAATTTCTGACATACACAAAATGGACAAATTGTCTATTAGTCACTCATGGAACCATCGCTCACCTTCAACAGATACTTCATGCCAATTTTTAGGAATTTAATATCATTAAGTTATTTGCTAAGATTTGCCAAGATAAGTATCTGTAAGGTCAAGGTACTGACATCAGAAGCATTTCTGAACAAAGATGTTGCAGTTGGTGGGTGGGTATGACTGTGTTCAGCTGTTGGATAAGCTTGCATAAATAGTATCATCTTGACTTTAATCTTTCGGTTGTTCAGAGGTAGTGTGCATATTTCTGTTTAACTCCTGGAAAGTTGCCAAGATAATTTGTATCCTCCTTCCATCCTTGGTACCTTGACGCTAAATAGTCTGGGAATAAAATCAATGATTTGATATTAGGAGCCTGTTGGATAGAAACAATGAGAAGGAAAAATCTTCATTTTTCTATTTAAAAAATTTTGGGTATTACCTGGCTATAAAATTCTGGACACTATAAAATTTGTTTCACTTTTCATCTATTTGGGAATGCATTTTACAAACAGAACAGGGAGTCAAACAAACATGGGTTGAAATCTCAGCTGGCCTTAGATAAGCACTCTGAGTCACTTCTCTCAAATGTAAAATGAGGATATAGATTGTTCTGCGAATTAAACGAAATAATACTTTCAACATTGATTATTTTAAAATATCGTTTGAATTCCACTATTGAATAGGAACAGTGTGTCCTGAGTTCAAGTCTGAGATGGATTTGTATAACAGCATTTGAGGAAGTACTATTAACACTGACCAGATGACTTAGAAAGGAGAGCTAATATTTATTTTGTCGTATCTAATTTTCTGACTGTTATGAGATCTAAAGACGCAGTGGAAGATCTAAAATTAGGGAGAAAATGTTCTGTTATGTTTGAACAAATGCATTAAACAAAGCATTGAAACCGTAATGCCTCACAATTATTTCTCATCAAACAATTACAGCAAACTCTGGCCTGTTCTATTCTGACTGCACTATTGAGTGAATTTTCAAGTTCGAGTAAAACTAGCAACATTGGATTGAGCATGGAATTCCATGGTAACTGCAAAAGAGTTTTTCAGGTATTGGTAGTTTTGTTCTTGAGTTTTAATTATCGGATCATTCACTTTTTACTCCATCTATTCCTAATGACGTGAGAATATTTTTGTGTAGTTGAATGATAGCCTGTACTTCAGGATTTGTTTTTTGATTTCAAAGGATACAGTAAAGTGATAGGTTTGGTGAATGCAGTTGTTGGTTTAAAATTACTCGTTTAATTCTAGTCTTAAAAAAAATACTTCTATAAAGATCTTTAGTTTATTATTTATTTCTTATTGTGTTTAGATATAACTAATTCAATTGATGGGACTCTGCTGGCCTTAAAAATAGGTCTGGAAGAATGCCAGAAGGCCATGTATTTCAAACGTTATTGCAGATGGTGCGGGCTCTTTGTCTTGTATGTATTGTTTGGCTCTGGAGTAAAGTTATGTGAAGGCATTGGCTTAAATCCTAGGGCTCTGCACTATAGCAACTGACTCCTCCAGCTCTGCAGAAGTTGTCAAAGACTCTCTTCTCTATGGAAGTAGCAGTTATATTCGAGTACATGTATTCCAACTGGCGTCACTTGAAAGCATACTGCGATGTAAATTACAAGTAGAGGCCTAAAAATGGAACACGTTCTTAAGGAAATTGTGTTTTCCATTGGAAATTTTAAGGTGTTTGTTTTGTTTCATGATTCTAAAAGGGAATACATTTTGAATAAATTTTTCATATAAAATATTTGTGATTTATTGACTATAGGAAGAAGACCTTCGTCAGATCTTCATGTTAACTGTTGAAGTTCTGCAGGAGTTCAGCAGGCGGGAAAACCTCAATGCTCAGATGTCTTCAGTGTTTCAGCGTTACCTTGCACTCGCCAATCAAGTCTTGAGCTGGAACTTTCTTCCTCCAAATTATATCCTTTTAACAAATTAATAGTTTATCTGTGGTAATTTTCATAGGTGACTTAATTACAGCTTGGAGTCTTTAACCTCTGAAGCTTTTATAAAACATGTTGAAAGAAAATAAGATTTTTTTTAAGAAATAGAATTTAATTTCTTTATCTTACAATGCCAAAAGACAGTGGATACTAGAATAACACTAGAAAATTTAAAAGTTTATTTACTCCTTTGTAGAAGAAGTTTGAATACTGGATACTAGAATGATACTAGAAAATTTAAAAGTTTATTTACTCCTTTGTAGAAGAAGTTAGAATATACAGAAACGTGGTGGATGACGGAGCTATTGCTAATTTAGAATTAGCAATATTCTTAGGGAAGGAAAAGAAAACAGGTAGAAAGTACCTTTTAAGAAACTGAATCATTTTTTCCTTGGACCTGTAATTATGTCTGATTTTTTGTTTGACTCACTGAAAGCTAGTTTGGAGTGCAGTGTAGATAATAAGTTAGTAATATGTGTATTCTTCAAGGGCCTTTACCGGTATAAAAAGATGAGAATTTTGCTTTTAGGAAATTATTCAGAAGTTTAAGTGGGTTGTATTATCAATGCATGTATCTGCTTTTTAAATTAGTTACTTAAAGTAGAGATACTTGTATTTCATAAACTTTAAGGAACTGCTGTCTCATTTGCGGTGCTAGGACGTCTGCTGCCTGTTGATAATAGTATACAGTGGCTACCCATTTGCTGTGTAAAGTCCGATAGATCTGGGTTCAAGCCTCTGCTGATCTTAGGGAAATCACCTGGGCTCTCTGAGTCTCAGCTTTTCCAAATGTAAAATGGGGATGTGGATTGTTGTGTGGATTAAATGAAACTGCATTTAAAACACTCAGAAGTTACTTACTATTTATTGAGCTCTATAATAGCCCCTTGAATTAAATAGTTCATTATATAACTAGGGGTCTTTTACACTCTTCTTTGTTGATCCAGTACGTCTCTGCAGTATAGGAAATTTATTTTTTTTTTATTTTTTATTTATTTATTTATTTATTTATTTATTTTTTTGGAGATGGAGTCTTGCTCTGTTGCCCAGGCTGGATTGCAGTGGCTGGATCTCAGCTCACTGTAAGCCCCGCCTCCCAGGTTCATGCCATTCTCCTGCCTCAGCCTCCCGAGTAGCTGGGACTACAGGCGCCCGCCACCTTGCCCGGCTAATTTTTTTTTGTATTTTAGTAGAGACGGAGTTTCACCGTGTTAGCCAGGATGGTCTCGATCTCCTGACCTCGTGATCCGCCCGTCTCGGCCTCCCAAAGTGCTGGGATTACAGGCTTGAGCCACTGCGCCCGGCCAAGAAATTTAATGTGACCTGTTCTAGATGTCTTTAATCTGGGAGTCTGTTCAGAAGAAAAAGACCGATGATAAGCAGACAGGAAATAGATGTGAAGTCAGATCAGAGATCTAGGGTGGGAGTCATCTTTATTGTAACAGAGCCAAGAGGAGCTACGTTTACATACATAGAAACTCACTAATTATTTGTGGCTGGTAAAATTATGACATTTAAGGAGTGTGGTGGGGTGTTACTCCTTCTTCCTTTTAAACTTAGTCTATTCACGTAGTAGAAAGGCTGTGTCAGATAAAGTGAGTCTGACTCCTTCAACCATGAGTTCCCCTGGTTTCTTTCCCGAAAGCGGTCATGTGAGCTGCTGCATGGTGGGGCAAAGCTTACAGCAAGGTCAGTCACCGTTTCCTTTTATTCTTATTCTGTAATCATCTTTCTCCTAATAACCAACTTTTGTCTTTAATATATTAACTTAATTCTTTCTGGTTGTCAAGAGGTGCCTAATTGCCTAGGTTTGCTTTTTAAAAAATTTTCCCTTTCAGTGTGTCAATATTTTTGTTCCAGTTTTTTTTTCCTTTCTTTCTTTTTTTTTTTAAATAAAGTTGGTAAGGCAGACTTTATTCAGGGGAGCCAATGGTGATAGCTGTGGGGACCACCACAGCAGGATCTTGCAGTTGGGGAGAGAGATTGGATTCAACTTCTTGCTCCAGTGTTTTCAGTGGGGGAAGAAAAAGATACTGAAAAACTTTGAGACATATTTTAAAAATATCAGTCCATATGGAGCTATCAAAATATTAATTATACATGTAGGGAAAAAAATCAACAAAAGTTACACTGCATATATTTTAAAGTGTCTGTTTTAAGGGAAATACAGTTGGTAGAGAGTGACTATTTCATAAAAAGAAACAGTTCTCTGGGAGTTTGGAAACAAAGCTTGTCTAAAAGATACACACACACAAAATATTTTATAAAGTACTTAGGTAAAGCTTTGGAAAACCTGTCATCTGAAAATGATAAGCAATACTGTAGTGTTGCCAAAGGAAATAATTCCTTGTTTAAAGAAAGTATATCTTGGTTTTCGACTTGAGGATATTTTGCTTCATGGCTTATAAGTGAGTTCTTGTGTGACCTTTTCATATAGTGCCATTTGTTGGCTGACTGCACTACAGCTAAGTATTCTTTGAGTGGATTAACTTTAAGTGTGGGAGAAAGAACTTGGCAGTGAGATTAAACTAAGCTACAGATTTAGCACTCATTAGGGAAATCAATTTCAAGGAACTCAATTCTGACTAATTTCTAATTTTGGAAATTACCTGGAGATCTACCATTCAATCAGTAAGGAAAGAATGGAATAATTATGCAGCCTTGTACCATGCAGAGGGTCTAAATAATCAAATTTAACTTAGTTTAAAAGTGTTGAATTGATGCCTTTTAAAAGATGGTTTATCTGCTGGATGCGGTGGCTCACTCTTGTAATCCCAGAACTTTGGGAGGTTGAGGTGGGAGGATTGCTTGAGTCTAGGAGTTCGAGACCAGCATGGGCAACATAGCACAACCCTATCTCTACAAAAAAAATACAAATATTAGCTAGATGTGGTGGTGTGTGCCTGTAGTCCCAGCTATTCGGGAGGCTGAGGTAGGAGGATTGCTTGAGCCTGGGAGGTTGAAGCTGCAGTGAGCCATGATCATGCCATTGCACTCACCCTGGGCAACAGAAGAGACCCTGTCTCAACATAAAATAATAAAATAAAATAAAAATAAAATAAAATATAAAATAAAATTTGTCTCAGGATAGACAAATAATAAATCGTGGAAAATGTTTGTGTGTTTTGATAATTTAGAATGGTGTCATGTTAAATGAGACTGTCAGTAACAATCCCCATTCATAATTTTCTCTAATCTGCTTTCTTTTTTGTATCTTTTTATATTGAGATAATTTTGTTTTTATTTATTTATTTTTGAGACAGAATCTTGCTCTGTCACCTAGGCTGGAGTGCAGTGGCACTATCTTGGTTCACTGCAACCTCTGCCACCTGGGTTCAAGCGATTCTCATGCCTCAGCCATCTGAGTAGCTGGGATTACAGGCGTGCACCACCACACCTAGCTTATTTTTGTATTTTTAGTAGAGACGGGTTTTATCATGTTGGCCACGCTGGTCTTGAACTCCTGACCTCAAGTTGATCCACCCACCTTGGCCTGCCAAAGTGTTGGGATTACAGACATGAGCCACTGCACCTGGCCCTGACTAACTTTTTTGTTTTAATTTTTGTGGAGATGGAGTCTTGCTGTGTTGGCCAGGCTGGCCTCAAACTCCTGGCTTCAAGTGATTCTCCTCCTTCAGCCTCCTATAGTGCTGGCATTACAGGCGTGAGCCAACGTGCCCAGCCTCAATAATAGCTTCATTGAGATGTAATTCACACACTATACTTTATACCCGTTTAAAATGTATAATTCAGTGTTTTTTTAGTATCTTCATAGAGTTGTACAGCAATAATTGTCAGTAGTTTTAAAACATTTTCATCATCCCAGAAAGAAACCCTGTGTCCATTAGCAGTTAGTCTGCATTTCTACCTTCTCCAGTCCTTAGCAGTCACTTTCTGTCGATGGATTTGCCTATTCTAGACATGACGTATAAATGGAATCATATAATATGTGGTCCTTTGTGATTGGCTTCTTTTTTTTTTTTTTTTTTTTTTGAGACGGAGTTTCACTGTTTCCCATGGTGGAGTGTAGTGGCGCAGTCTCAGCTCACTGCAACCTCCGCCTCCTGGGTGCAAGCAATTTTCCTGCCTCAGCCTCCCGGGTAGCTGGGACTATAGGCACACACCACTACACCCTGCTAATTTTGTATTTTTTAGTAGAGATGGAGTTTCACCATGTTGACCAGGCTGGTCTTGAACGCCTGGCCTCAAGTGATCTGCCCGCCTCGACTTTCCAAAGTGCTGGGATTACTGGTGTCATCCACTGCACCCATCCTGGCTTCTTTCACTTAGCTTAATGATTTCAAGATCATTTGGTAGCCTGCAGCATCAATCAGTTCTTCCTTCCTTTTTATTGCCATAATAGTGTATGAATATACCACTTTTTAAATCCACTTATCAGTTGATGGACAGTTGAGTTGTTTCCCCTTTTTGACTATTGTTAATAATGCTGCTGTGAGAATTCATCTATAATTTTTGTGTGGACTTAGGGTTTCATTTCTCTTTGGGAGGCCGAGGTGGGAAGATTTATTGAGGCCAGGAGTTTGAGGGTGCAGTCAGCTGTCGTCACACCACTGCACTCCAGCCTGGGCAACAGAACAAGACCAAAATGTAATTTCTTTTTTTTTTTTTTTTTGAGACAGAGTCTTGCTCTGTCCCCCAGGCTGGAGTGCAGTGGCCGGATCTCAGCTCACTACAAGCTCCACCTCCCGGGTTCATGCCATTCTCCTGCCTCAGCCTCCCGAGTAGCTGGGACTACAGGCGCCGCCACCACGCCCGCTAATTTTTTTGTATTTTTAGTAGAGACGGGGTTTCACCGTGTTAGCCAGGATGGTCTCGATCTCCTGACCTTGTGATCCGCCCATCTTGGCCTCCCAAAGTGCTGGGATTACAGGCGTGAGCCACTGTGCCCGGCCTGAAAAGGTAATTTCTTATATAAAGTACTGCATTAAAATATTAATTAAAATATTGAGAAAACC